CATATTTCACCAGGTTTAAGGAGGAAAGGAGACTATCAGATAAGTTTCTTCATAGGTACTGAAGAAAGGCACTTTACATTTTAGATTTGCTTTTTTAAAAAAGTGGGAAAAAAGAGAAGAGTCCGTAAAATAGAAATAAATTAAATTTCTTTAATATAATAGAATGTATCCCAACTGCAAAGCCAGTATTATGCTTATTAAGAAAACACTAGAAACATTAGGAGTCGGAAAGTGCTAAACTCAGGAACAGAGCAAGAATGACCTACATCACCAGTGATATTCAACATCGTCTCGAAGTCCTAGCAAATGGGATGACATGAAAGGCAGGAATTAGAGGCATGTAACTTAGAATTTCTAAAGTTACCTGTTTGCATATGATATAACTAAAAACTGTTACAAACAGAATTCAGTGAGGTGAAAGGGAAAGGAAGAAAGTAGCTTTCTTATGTAAAAGCAATAAACAGTTAAAGCTCTACTAGAAGGAAACACACCATTTACAGTTCATTTTTAAAATATAAAATATCATTGCTTCTCAGCCTTTTGGCTAAGATCAAGTGTAAAATATAAAATATCTAGTAATAAACTTAAGAAGGTGTGTGTGTGTGTGTGTGTGTGCACAGACACTACTGAGGAAATGCAACAACCTACACAAATCGATAGACATACCATATGGTGAGATAAAAGGACTCAATAACATAAGACTATATAAATTATTCCGAAGCTGAACTTTCATATTTAACATGATTCCAATACAAATGTCAATAAGATTTGTTTCTGGAAGCATACAAGCTTAATCTGAAATTAAAATGGAAAAACAAAGAAAAGGAACAAAATTTAAAAATATGTAAAATGGAGTGAGAAATACATTATCAGATATTAAAATATATTATCATATTGCAATAATAAAATTTTGGTCTGGTACATGAATAAATAAGCTGGCAGCCAATGGGACAGAATTGGAAGCCTAGAAATAGGCCAAAAGACTTATGTGACTTTAGTATATGATAAATTTTCATTTCATATTAGTGAGAAAAGATGGATTATTCAATAAATTTTGTTGGAAAGCTGGATCACCATCTGGAAAAAAATTTCAGTTGAATTTATACTTTAAGTCTTGTACCAGAAAAAATTAAAACTGGATCAAAGAATTAGGGGTAAAAAGTGAAACCATAGAGGCACCGGGAGAAACCTGGAAACCAAATTACAATCTCATGGTGTGGAAGGTCTTTCTAACCATTTCATAAATCTCAGGAGTTAGAAGAAAATATTAATACACTAAACTACAGTAAATTAGAAAATATACATGTATGGTAAAATAATCATAATCAAAAGTTTGTAATAAACTCTTAAAAAATACTTTAAAATCTTATAAACAGAGGACCAATTTCTGTAATGCAAAGTGAATAAGCCTTTAACAAAAGCACAAATAATTCAAAAGAAAAAAAAAGGATGAAAGATGTGAACATACAGTTCACAGCTAAAGAAATACAACTGGTACTCATCATGTAAAACAATGCTTGGTTTCATTCACAATAAGAGAAGCGGAAATCAAACTACAAGAAGAGATACTATTTTTCACCTATCATATTGTCAAAGGTACAAAAGTTTGTTATAAAAAAGACGTGGGGAAATAAACTCTCCTGGGGAGAATATAAATTGGTGCTTCATCAAAGGAGGGCATTTTGTCAGTATTGAACACATCTTTACACTGATCAAGTTCACTGCTAGAAATGTATTCTAAAGATATATTGCACATGAGCAAATGGTGAATACACAAGATTATTTAGCAAAGATTGTTTGCAGTAGCAAATAAGTGCTAACACCCTAAATGTCTACCAGCAAGAAACTGCTTAAACTGCCGCGCGTCCATACCGTAGAATACCGTGCCGCCATGAGTGAGACCAAGCAACGCTCTACAAGCTGATGTGGAGAAATCTCTAAATTTATAAAGTGAAGAAAGTAACGTGAATGAAAATTTTCATGGCATGCTATCATATGTATTGTAAAGACTAACACACACACACACACAAGTACACACAAACATATAAGTATTTGTATATGCATAAAAGCTCTAGAAGTATTCACAAGACTGCTAAACAATTGCCTATGAGAAAGGGAGCTGAGCAGATAAGTGACCAAAATGGGAAAACTTTGGACAGAATCTTTTTTTTTTTGTTCCTTTTAAGTGTTAGAACCACATTGAATATATCATATATTAAAAACACATTTCAAAATATCTATTAAAACTAAGTTAATAATCAAAAGAAGAAATTTTCCATGAATTTAATCTTCATTTACTTCAAAGTTTCTTGCTTTTATAATAAGATGGTGTTGGTTAATAGTAGGTATTGTTTTTGTTTGCTATATTTAATTTTCAAAATAAAAAGAAAACAATCCATTCAAAAGATACTACATTCTGATTTATGAGTATGGGATACCTACCTACACATGATTTTGATATTTTAAAACATTGGAATAAATTATCAAAGAATACACATTACAAATAGGAAAATTTAAATAAGGAACAAAAGTGACTTCTCATGTCTTCATATCATAGATAGTGTTTAAAAGCATCAACATATTCCTTGGTGATGAAGATGGGGACATCCTATTATTGAAAAAAAAGCATAAAATATGAGGAACCCTCAAATACCTCAAAAGAACTATGGAAGCAGCAGTTGCTGAATAGTCAAGGAATGTAAAATCCTGAAAGTTAATTATATGCTTTTTATAGCAATTTGAAATGGACCCAGTGATCTGATTCCACCATTTTAAAAACATCGACATATTCTTTTTTTCTCTCTCTGCAGGGTTGGGCCGTTAGCATTTGACAGGGGCTGTGGTAAAATTAGCTTGTAACTCTCTCACACGTTTCACTTTACAGTTTACAAATCACTTTCATTTACATGATTTTATTTGATGCTTCATTCCAATATAAAAGTTACTCAAGGCAACTATTTTTATTTCATTTTTACAGATCAGAAACTGAGGTTTGGCTTGCTTACGTGACTTGCTTAAGGTCACATCGCTACAAATTGTAGACCTAGAACTAAAATCATCCTGGCTCCTTGTCTAGTTTTTATTGCTCTATCCCAGGTTGTCTAGCTTAACTATTTCCTGTTTTGTGGAGCTTGTAGGAAAGGCTGCTCTGCAAACGCAGGACGTCAGCATCTGGGGAACACATCCAATCATTCTTGCATTAAACTCTAATAGATTTCTCAAACACAGTCTTCCTCTAATCGTGTCATCTATGTGAGCAGTCATTTCTTTGGTGTGCAAGTGTGAGTGTGTGTGTGTATGTGTAATGATGTTATCTATATGCCATCGGGGCACCTGCACATTTGCATATGGGGAAAGAACTGAATAAAACATGAAGTGTTTTATTCCAATGGGATGCAAGATCCTCAAAGGATATTTACAAATGTACTCAAGTGCCTCAGAATCAATCAATCTCTGAATCAACAAATGTTCTTTGATTCCTTGGTATGTGCCTAGCACTATGATAAATGCTGTAGGGGAAACAATGAAGCAAAGAAAGGGGCACCCCCACCAATACCTTGGAAGCCTCAATTTAGATACGAGAAAATAATTAGATTCATGGCTGTCTCTAGCCAGTGCCTACAGAGCACAACATTCCCCGAGTTCCCTCCAAGGGGCTCCAGTTGGTCAGAGAGGAGGAGGAGGAAAATCTCCTCAAGTTCACTGAGCTACATCCTAGTGACCATTCATTGGGAGGTTATTTGAAGGGGCATTTTTGACTTTCCTGGTTTGGCTGAAATCTGGAACACCAGCATCAGAGAGAGCTACTCATAGGGCTTTCTCTATGCAGAACCCTTAGTGCTATGGCCCATTCTGCACCTGCCGCTTTGTAGGCTACTCTCTACCCAGCAGATAGAACGTTTTTAAAAAGTAAATAAATGATTGTGTCTTTCTTTTTCTTATAATCCTACATGACTTCCTCTTGCTCTTAGACTAAAATTCAAACTCCACCATGAAAGACCTTCATTGGGCCCCTGCTTCCTTTCAGACCTCTGCACCACCTCTCTTCTCACTCATGAGGCTTTCAGACATGCTTCTGATCTTTCTCCTTTCCCTAGCTGCAGGCCTTTGTGCTTGCTGTGCCTTCTCTGCGGAGCAATGACCCTCAGATCCATTTCTGGCTCCTTCTCACTGTTCAGTTTCACTTCAGATACTGACATTAAGGAAGACCTTCCTTACCTGACCATTCTAAAGTAGCTCCCCCACCTCTTCCCTACACTCTATAGATCATCAATGTGTTCTTTTCTTAGTTAGCACTACGTGTAATTCATTACCTTATACATTTGTTTTCTTGTTCATTGTTTTGTCTCCCCCAACTAGAGTATAAAAGCTTTATGAAAGCAGCAGCCTTGTCTACCTTGTTTATTGCTGTTTATGCAGCTCCTAAGACAGCATGTAGTCAGTGTTTAACAAATATTTATTGAATGAATGAATGAGAAGCCTCAGAAATTGAGTGTTTATGGCTTTCACTATCAACTGCATCCCTTTACTGCTTGATGACTATTCTGAGATATTACCCAAGAATCTCCCTACCTCCTGTGCCTTCCTCACCTCCACAAGTTATCCTGCCATCCTTCTCCTACTAAATCAGAGGCACCCTTTGCCCCATGGGGGACTAAGATTATTAGAGCAGTAATGTAAAGAGAGAAAAAACCCAGTAAGTTCTGGGCATTTTGAGTTTCTAAATAGATTTTTTAAAATTATTGCTTCTGATTTGTAAGAGCCAGGCCCTTTTCAGTATCAGAGGTAAAGCCCTGAAGGAATCATGGCATAAAATGCATGACATAAGCAAGTGACTTAAAAAAAAAATAGAAGAGCTATTTTATTTATCCCTGGAGACAAGATAAAAATGGAGCCAGTGGCAGGGGGAGGGAGAAAAGAGCCGTGTAGACAAAGATCAGAGGGGACATGATGAGACGCCAGATGATAGTTGACAAGGGGCTCCGTGTCCTTCCACTTACCCAGTGGGGCAGGTCCTGAAGGAGCAGGGGGTCTCAGATTAGAGAAGATGCCGGCTTCACTATGCTGGCAAAACTTGAAGAGTTAGGAGAGAATTCCCACATGCCAGCCTGGAGCAGCAGTACTGAAATAGACAAGTGGCATTGTGTGTCTAGCAAAGTTGAATTGAAACATCCTCTTACGTTTATTTAGGAGTTGCAAAGGGAAGCATACATAATTTTCTGAGCTTCCAGGAGAGAAGTGGAAATGGTTGAGAGACACCTTGTAGATTTAAAGGGACCCGACAGGATTAAGACACAGAGATAACCATGAGTTCTGGTACTGAGAGGAAACTACAGGGACCATGGACAAGGGCAGTAGATGCCCTAGGAATCAGAGCTAATGGCCAAAGAGATAACAGCATCCTAGGCCAGCAGAGGGTGAAGTGCAGGGAGTGGCAAATCCAATGTCTCTCGCCATTTTTCCCTCATTACCTCTTGGTTACTTGTAAGACCCTCCCCCAAATATAAGATGGCACCTGGCCAGAAAGGAGACAAGGAATGAACTCTTAACGTGGCTGAGTTTATACCAAAAATGTTTCATTCCAGTTTTGTGAGACTATATGACAATAGGCAGACTGCTGTTTTTTCATCATCAAATGGGAATGCTACTTTTTTCACATGTGAGTTTGTGATATGAAAATTTTATGCATTACACATATTTGAAAGATGTCCAGAAGCCTCTGAGGTAATACACAGTCAGCGGTTGGCCACTATATGGTGTAGCAATAAAAGGTACTGCTACCTCATAGAGCACCTATCTTGTACCCGACTTGGGCTGAGAGTTCTGAGGCAAGTAGCGACCCATCTGAAGCACAAGCTTCAGGCCTGGAGTCAGAGAGATCTGAGTTCAAATCTCTGCCTCTAGTTTTTGCAAGGTGGTCGAGATAAGCATTTAAACTTTAGGGCTTCACTTACCTCATCTAGAAAAATATAACAATCTTCAAAAAACTATTTTGGTAATTAAATGAGGTAATATATGTAACAGTTTAGAACATTTATTAATTGTTAATAGGCGCTCAAAGTGGAAATTAATTACTACTGTCCTCATATGAGGGAATAATTTTTATTCTAACCAAACTTGATGTGTTCTTCCACAATCATTTTATATTTTCTTTATTAATTTTCCATTGCATAAAACAATATTTCTATTCAGTATAGCAATTTGCTGAGGAGGAAATTAACAAATGTGGTAAATACATTGATTTTATATTTGAATTAGCAAAATACACACCAATTATCATAAGCTATAAATTATAACATTTGTATTCTCACATTGAATTTAATCTTCTCCATGAGGAAGAGCAAACAATAATAACAAGCAAAAATTCACTGTCTGGTTCAGTTCTCCTTAGTAACCAGAAGCATCTATTTACAAGAGGTTTTCCTAGAATCATGCCATACATTGCAGACGCTAATTTCTAGAATTTGAAGAGATTTTGAAGAGGACTTAGAAACTAGAAACTATCTGATTTAATTCTTGCATTTTTTTTTTTTTGAGATGGAGTTTCGCTCTTGTTACCCAGGCTGGAGTGCAATGGCCGTGATCTTGGCTCACCGCAACCTCCGCCTCCTGGGTTCAGGCAATTCTCCTGCCTCAGCCTCCCGAGTAGCTGGGATTACAGGCACGCGCCACCATGCCCAGCTAATTTTTTGTATTTTTAGTAGAGACGGGGTTTCACCATGTTGACCAGGATGGTCTCGATCTCTTGACCTCGTGATCCACCCGCCTCAGCCTCCCAAAGTGCTGGGATTACAGGCTTGAGCCACTGCGCCTGGCCCTAATTCTTGCATTTTACGGAGGAGAAAACTGAGGCCATGGGCAGAAATGACTTGATTCGTGTTAACTAGTTATTGGCAGCATTACGATAAAGCGTCTGTTAGTCAGTCTTTGCTGTGTAACAGACTACCCCAAAAGTTGGTAGCTTCTAAACAGTATTTAGTTTTTGCTCACAGACCTGCAGGTCAATTGTGGCAGCTGGGCTCTGCTGGTCTTGGCTCCAGGCTCCTGGTTGGGTCTAGGTCTGCTCCACAAATCTCTTATCCTCTTGGATCAGCCAATGCCAGGGGCATGTTGTGTCATAGTGGAGCTTAGCTGTGAAGGAGGAGAGGCAAAAAAATAAGATGCCTCTTGAGACCTCAGCTCAGAACTGGAACATTCTCACTTCCATCTAAATTCCATTGGCTAAATACAGTCAGATGAGCTAAATCAAAGAAGCAGTGGGACAGGAAAACAAATTTCATTCATTCTAGTTGAAGTACTTCTGAGTCACTTGGGCCAAAGATACAGATATATAATTCTAATGAAGGGAGGACATAAGCAACCATGATGACTCAATTTACCAGAAGATCTCATTCTTCAGATTCCCAGGTAAGCTTTTTTTCCCCTCCACCATGTTCTAAGCAGGCCTCTAACCTAGCAAGCTAACTAATCAGTTAAAACTCTTTTGTGCCAAGCCACATAGGATTAGCCCAGGCAGTAAGTTACCAATGTTGCGTTTAGAGAAAACAACTGGAAAATCTAGGGTCAGTTACACAGAAATGAAGAATAAAAGAAAAGTAATAATAGTCAATCAACCAAGAATGTTTTTCATCTCCCTTCTGCAAAACCGAAACTCTTAGAAAGTTTTCTCCTTAGCAAAAGGGGATTTACAGTTTCAGATCTATCAATTGTTTTTTAATTAAAAATGTATTGAGGTCCTCACGATGGGAGCCTATAAACCAGACATGCCAATTCTTGGCACAGGCAGCCTAGTGTGTGTGTATAAATTATATCCAGGGTGACTTGAGTCTGGCTGGGAGATACTGCAGTAACTCTGAGTTATACTTTCTCTGAGTCAGAACTACTAAAACAGACATTCTTAGAATATTTAAAACATTGATCATAGGCCTGCAAATGGATGACTCCTCTACCTCATCAGGGCTTCTTCTGCTGTCAGTAATAGTTTCAAATGATGATCTTATCTGCGTAAATTATGTTTGCTTCCATCAGCCCAGCAGGCACCAAGCTGGTCCAAAAAGAGATGACCCAGATGCCCTTTGGTGGCTTGTACTAAAATCCAAATTGGCAGCCAAACTCTGGCTATAAATGCCTTCTTTGCCTTTGGTGACATTAAAGACATCAAGGATAAGACCTGATACTGGGCTTCTAAGATACACGGGTGCAGCCCAGAGACTTGTAATTCTCCATTTATGTATTCACTGACTGGGAGCTTGTGATGGATGGCAACTGTGAAGAAGCTGAAACTTGAGCCCAGCTATGAGGTTCATCGCTTAGCAAAAAGGGAAAGTGGGCAGCCAAAGAAGACAGCTGAGAGTGAATCTAAGGAATATAGCAGTCTATCTTCAAAGACCATGGAGAAATTATGTCAAATTTCTTTTGTTACTATTTACAAAACCTGAAGAGAAAGGAGTAAACATTTACCATTTGCCTGAGTGTAGGATTGATACCGATGAATCTTGGTATACAAAATTTGCAGTCCATTGTTTAAATGTTAAAGATTGTCAGTAGGTAAACAGGGTTGCCTTTCTGGCTTCTCCAGAAGAGTGCTGGAGGTTGTTGGCTTCAATAAGTAAGAGGTTATAAGGCCTTCTTGAATGTGAGGAAGAAAAAGTTCCAGGATCCCAGAGCAAGAAATGAGCTCATCTAGTGAAAAATATCCTATACCGGAAGTCACAGTTCTGTGACCTTAAGCAACTTGTTTCCCTTCCCTGGGCATCTGTTTCCCAATCTGCAAAATGAGGGGGCTGCATAGGGTGAACTCTAAGTTGTATTCCAAATGTAATAATCTCTGGATCTAAAATTCTTCTCAATAGCCTCCCTACAGAATGGCCCTTACATCATCGACTCGTTCCATGCTATGTAGCATGCAGAAAGAGCACTTAATTTGGAGATATATCCTTCAAATTTGAAACAAAGTTTATGGCAAGCATCTCTGAAGTCCACTTGGACTCAGAGGACATAGATTTAAAAGAAGGGAGCTGAAAACTTCTACTAAATCAACTCATGATCATTCAAGAACTGATGGGATAAGAACAAACCAGCTCAAACTCGTCATGCAGTTTTTGGACACTTGATCTCATGGTTATCTTTTAGCATGGCATGGTTAACCACTTGAAGCAGGAAAATGAACAAAATGGCTTTTGAACACGCTACTTGGCCTTGTTTGGGATCTTAAATTTCCCCTCCTTCATTCCCATCAAAAGTTTTAGGCTGTAAGGAATAGACTAGACACAGGGAGCTGTAATGGAAACAGCATGGATTTGGTAGTCCAAGTCCATGTGGTTTCAAATCTCAGCTTCACCATTACCAAGGAGGGTGATTTAGCTAAGTCCTTTCCTTCTTTTATCTCTCTCTCCCTCTCTCTCTTTCTTTCTGCAGTTATTTACTGAGTGGCTTCTGTACTCCAGATGCTGCTAACCAGACATTGGAGTGGCGGTGGCAAATAGAGTTTCTGTCTTCTGGTGATTACCGTTGAACAGAAGAGGCAGGTGGGTTTATGCTTATATTACAATGTGATCAGTGCCAATTTTGAAGTTAGCACAAGATGCTGTGGCCTAATACAGTGCTGTCTCTTTCTTTCAAATTTAAAAAAATATCTAAAAACAAAACAAGCAAACAGAAACCCCCCAAGAATCCCTTTATTATAAGTATTGAAGCTAGCACAAGATGCTGTGGCCTAACAGAGTGCTGTCTCTTTCTTTCAAATTTAAAAAAATACCAAAAAACAAAAACAAGCAAACAGAAAACTCCCAATAATCCCTTTAGTGCAATGTTAGAAAGCCACTCAATAAATAACATTCTGTGAATGCCTAGTAAGCTACATACAGTATCACTAATCCTCACAAGTTTTTTATAATCATTGCCCCATTTTATACATGCAGTAACTGGGGTCAGAGAGATTATATAGTTTTCTCCAGGTTACATAGCCACAGTGGAAGAACTGGGGTATGAAGCCAGTTCTATGTGACTATAACGCCCATACTTGCTCTTCATGCAATGTCACAATGCTTTCTCTTCTAAATATGGGTCCTTCTCTTTGTTACCCAGCATACATGACACAGAAGTCACTAAAAGGCAGTTGAGATAATGTAGTCAAACCATGTGAAAAGCCAGTCTCTTGGGTTGCCTTCTTTTCCCTGAGAGTTCACTCAGATTAGGGGCAAGAGGCATCTGTAGGGAAAAAAGGTGAGGAGACTTAGCTACAATTTAATGTAGGTTTTGATGACTGGGTTTCCCACTCTAGGAAGGCCCCTTTCACATTTCTCAGTGTTCTCCAGTTTGCAAGAAGTGCTTCTCCATGTTGTGTGTCCAGCATACACTCACAGTGCCGGAGCTGCTGTGTTTTATCCCTTCCCTGATGCACAAACTCTAACAAAATGAAAGAGTATGTAGAAAAAGCCAAGTACAAAGCATAACTCAGAAATGGTAATGTAACAGGGTCCACCATGGCTGCTGACTAGTCGCATTTGTAATGATTTTCTCCAAATAATGCAAACACTATTTTTTCCTGAGAAAATGAAATATGCAAGTGCCACATTCCACATATGATGGGGGAGAACTCATAAAAGATTTTAATCTTTCCTTGTCAAGCTTCAAAAATGCAAACGGCCTCGTCCTCATTTTCTTTATGCCCTGGACTTCTAATTGAGGAAGCTGGCATCAATTATGCATGTGGGCACGGCTGGGGAGGGAACCAGAATAAATATTTGGGGGGTATCGTTACAAAGAACATCACTTCATCTTTGTGTCACCATAATTTCCTGTATCGTAGTGCTTTAGATTAGAACATATGGCAATAAGGTAGGTAATGAGAACAGCAATTTTCTGAAACAACATTATAACTTTTCCCTCTTTATGGTCACATTTAGTTACAGTACATGCTGCCATTTAGGTATAGAGCTTTATAAAAGCAAATCTCAGAGAGAAGGGAATTCTGGAGCTAGGGCCTAGGAATCTGAACCCCTGGGAACAGAGCAGACCCTGCAGATGAGAATTTGGGGTTGTGGACTAGTTAACTTTTGCTGCAGTAACAATCCCAATTTTGAAGGGGCTTATACCAACAATGTTGCTTGCATTTTCATGTTCTATGAGGACTGTGAGTAACATGAGCTGGCTGAACTCTTATTCAGAAGCCAAGCTAAAGGAGTGGCCACAATCTGAGATGTACTTGTCATTTATACAGGAGTTTGAGACCAATCACCCAAGTGCATTTACTACTTCTGTTTGAGAGGGCACGTTTCATATTCAACCCCAATCCACTATCCAAAGGCACAGGAAAAGGCTGTAAATAAAACAGGAAGGCTTTGCAAAGATGGAGATGTATGTTATGCACTATGGGGGGAAGTTGACAGTATGAACAATATAATCAACCACAGGGTGATTCCATAGCTTCAACCCATCATCACTGGGGAAACTGCGTTGGGGCAATTCAGTAAATCAGCAAGTGAGCAAAGAAAATCATCACCAGTGGTGCTAAGGTGGATTTAGAGTTCATATAAATACACATTTACAAGTATCTTTAAAATACTGGTCTAAATGCCAGGCATGGTACAATGCATTTTGGGGAAATAATGCTAAATACGATGACCTCTGCCATTCAGGAACTCTCCATTTTGAAGGGATAATAGCCAGACCAAGAGCTAAGCAAATGAGTGTACAGAGTTAAAAATGATATAGAGGAACAAAAAAACAGGAGGAAGGAGAGCATAATTGCACTGTGTTAGGTGTGTTGCACATACTATTTTATTTCATCAGCATAACTTGGAGAGGACAGGAATCGTGCAAATGACTTAACCTGAGTATCAGACAAGTTTACTGTTGTGCCCACCTCCAAGCCAGAAAGAAGTGAAGCTGAGAGTCAAATAAAACAGCATGAATGGGAATGGGATGGTAAAGACAATTCATTCTGCCTGACAGAAATCAGGAAAGGACCATGCCACAAAGGTGGCATTTCAGATGGGCTTGATGAATGAACAGCATTTCAGTAGACAGAAGAAGACAGACAGAATGTCCAGCCTTAGGGAGCAGCATGCATCAAGCCCAGGAAGCATGAGAGAGCCAAGATTCCGGGGAATGGACATAACAGTGATCTT